CTGGGGGGGGGGGATTTCTTCTTTGCCACACGTCTTCCGGAGACTTTCATTGCAGACTGAGGGAGGGAAGTTAGAAGGAGCCATACTTGGACTCTAGCTAGGTTGTGGAAGTATGGAGTGGGGGGGGGGGCTGAGGATGTCTGGCTTTCTATCTACTGTACCCAGATGTGAGTATGCTTGCGCCCTGGATGCGGGGCGGTGGGGGGCTCCTTCTGCCTACTCTGGTATGCATCTGCCTGGCAGTCTGCCTCTTCGCAAACAAGAGGATTGAATTTGGGAGGACGGGGTGTGTAGGAGGAATGGATGGAAGCTGGTAGGCGGAGGGGTTGGGGCGGGGGGGGGAGCGAGGCGGAGGGAGCAGGAGAGGGAGGGCGTGGTCCTCCAGCCAGCTCTCCCCACCCACCCTGCGGAAGCTGTCTCCTGATTGGCTGCCCGGCCGCGGGGCTCAGGTTACATTCTGGAGGAGAGCGGAGCGCGGGAGACAGGACGCGAGGGAAGAGCGGCTGGTTCTGCGCTGGTTCTGCGCGGGTCGGTGGGCGCCCGACAGCCCCTGGGCGGCCACCCAGCATCGCACAGACCCACCCCCGCCCTGCGCCAGGCTCCACCCCAGCCCAGGACCCGCTACACCAGCATGGACTGCTGCACCGTAAGTTAGCAAGCCTGGGGATGGGGATGCTGGAGGTAGAGCTCACTCGATGGAGAGCCCCGGCCCCAGGGTGCTTGAGCCCCCGGGTTGCATCCCCAACACCGGAGGAGAAGATGGAGGGGGGGTGGAGAGAATCAAGTTGCTTAGCCGGGAGGGTGACGCACGCCTGTAATACCAGCACTCGGGAAGCCCAAGCAGGAGGATTGGAAGTTCGAGGGTTTATAGGGATGGGGATGTACGTAGATGCGTCAGACCCTGGTTTTCGATCGCCATCACCCCCAAAGGAGGAGAGGCAGGCAGACAGACAGACAGACTCGGGGACCGGCACTCAGCGAAGTCCTGGGTGGGTGGGTGCGGAAGACCTCACGCAGGGCAGGAAGGGAGAGCTCGGGACGTGGGTGAGGCTGGTGGAAAGGCGCCCGCCTGACTTGAAAACGCTCCCCGGCTGGCGGGGGCGTGCGAGCGCCCATCCGGCCAGGCAAGCGAGGTTGGACCGGTGGCTGGGCAGGGCTTGGCTGCCGGGAAGCTGCAGGTTAGATCACCGGAGGAACTTCCCCCCCACGCAGGGAGACGCAGCCAGTACGTGGCCTGGGGGACCAGACCTTGGATTTTGTTCCCCACCACCATTGCCTCTTGCACTGCGGCCGCCCGCCGTCGGTGGGCGGACAGGATGGCCCTGGGATGATGGATCGTCTAATCTAAGCTCATGGGCAACGTTGGCGGAGATCAAGGATTTATGTTGGGGTTTATGGGGGGGGGATGTGGGACAGCTTGGGGAGGAGTTGGTTCTGCCCTCCCCGCCTTCGGGCTCTTATTGTAGGGCTGGGTGAAGTGACCTATAGAGAAGCCCTGCTGGCGAGAGAAGGAAGTGTGTGCGATTTGTCAGCGCCCACACGGAAAGCTGAATACTTCAAGGGTCTAACTCCGAACGAAATAGATGGCTGGGGGGGGGGGTGGAGGGGGGAAGAGGATTCGAAATGAGAGTGCTTGGCCAAGAACCTGGCCTCTGGCTCACTTAGAGGAATACAGTGATCACACACACACGCACGCACTCGCGCGAGCATGATCAAAATGTGTTCATACACAAAATGTGTTCACTTTTAACCTCTACATATGAAGAAAGACTCATGTTCAGTCATTCACCGAAAGATACAAGAGGTCACCAGGTGGTGGTAGCTCACGTCTATAATCCTAGCTATTCAGAAGGTTGAGATCTGAGGATTGTAGTTCTGAGCCAACCTAGGCAGGAAAGTCTGTGAGACTCTTATCTCCAATTAACCACCAAAAGGCCAAAAGTGGAGCTGTGACTCAAGTGGTAGAGCACCAAACCTTGAGTGGAAAAAGCTAAAGGACACTGTCCAAGCCCTGAGTTCAAGCCCTAAAACACCAAAACAACAACAAAAAAAAGATACAAGAGGGTACTGACTTTGATGTTTCCATACCCACCACAATCACCTTCTGATGTTACCAAAAAAAAAAGTTTAAATGCTGGGAAGGTGGCTCAGTGGTAGAATGCTTACCTTGTGTGCACGAGGCCCTGGGTTCAATTCCTCAGCACCACATAAGCAGAAAAAAGCCAGAAGTGGCGCTGTGGCTCAAGTCATAGAGTGCTAGCCTTGAGCTGAAGAGCTGGGGGACAGCGCCCAGGCCCAGAGTTCAAGCCTCACGACCAGAAGAAAAAAAGAAAAAGAAAAAACGAGGAGAGTACTATTCTGGAAGACATGAGACTTCCTGATGTCCAGAAACAGAATGGAGGGGCGAGTCAGAGGTGCTGCCATTTTAACCATGTCGGCATCAGCAATAACTGCCAATCTGCAAATGTTGGCTGTGAACCTAGCACTTAGTATTAATCATCACAACAACTGTAAGGTTCATATCATTTCACAGACAAGCAAACTGACATGCAGTGATTTTCCCAAGGAGGCAGAACTCCCAGGTGCGGAGGTAGGATTCAAAGCACAGCCTTGTCTGGTTCAAAAAAGCTGTATGTATAGCTCTAAATATATCGTTCTTCATCATTGTAAAAGTAATATGCTCATAATAGTAAACATAAAGACTACAGAAGGTATAAAAAAGAAACATGCCAGTCAATGCGGTTGCTTTGCTGAAGAACGCTTGTTATTCTCCAGGATTCTGCATTTATTTTGTATATAATTAGTTTTTAATGCTGGGAATAAATTTAGCCTGGGGTAAATACACCCTCCACCACTGAGATAAACCCCCAACCCAGAAAATAAGTGTTGATTGTTAAAGGACAAATGGGAATTTCCAGACCCTATTGAAATGGAGTCCCTTTCACTCAATATAGTTTATCAAATAAAGAAAACAAATGGGTGGATGGTTCATTCTGAGGGATGGAGAGGTTGCTGAGCAGGAAGGACTAAGATAAGGTAGGCTGAGGAAGGGGAAGCAGGTGTGGTCAGTGAGAAGAAGGGAATGAGCAAGGAACCCAAGAAATCAGTAAAGGAATAGAACTTGTCTCCTCTGGTGTTTGTAGTAATGAGGGTAGAATGTGGGGTATGTGTGAGTAACTAGGAATCCATTGGTACTAGAGAGATAGAAAGATAGATAGATAGATAGACAGATAATAGGTGATGGGGGTTGATAACAGTGGCACCGGTAGACATCTCAAAAAGGAGGCTGCTCACCCAAAAAGTACAGAGGAGGCAAACAGGCAATAAGCCATGAGTTGATGGCTCATTCCTATAGTCAGAGCTACTTAGAAGGCTGAAATCTGAGGATCATGGTTCAATACCAGCCAAGGCAGGAAAGCCCTGGAGACTCTTATCTCCAATCAGCCACAAAGAAGGCAGAGGTAGAGCGAGGGCTCAAGTAGTAGAGCACCAGCCTTGAATGAAAAAGCTAAAAGACAGCATCCAGACCCTAAGTTCAAGCCCCAGTATTGGCACTAGACCAACCACCAAACAAAAGCCATAGTATCTCAGTGATCCCAGGGTCCTGTGGCTCCACCACTAATGGACCTTGAACCAGAGACTTAGTTTTTCATGTCCTAGGTTTTCAGGGCCAAAGGGTTAGGCAAAGGAGAGCACCATTCTCAGACTATACCAGGGGCCAGAAAAAGGGGAGAAGGGCTGGGGAGGGCCAGGGCTGCACCATTCTGTAGAGGACTAGGCTCCGCTTAGCATGAGGACAGATCTGGGACATGTGGCAAGAACAGCATGCCTCTTTCATTCTGGGATTCTTCTCCATGCCAGCCTCACCTGGTGGTTGGGAAGAATCTAGTCCTGCCTTAGTCCTTTATTTCCCTTTGCAAAGGGAATTTAGAAGCATGTAAGAAGAAAACAGATTTTTTAAGCAAGTTGTTTCTTTTTAGAGAGAGCTATTGCTCCGAAATGTTCGAGTTGCTGATTTACATAGAGACATAGATGCCATTTGTGTGTTCATTTAAGATGAAGCTTTTTAAAAAAAAATTCTACTCTGTTTGCTTAGTCTAGTTGACTTGGTCCCACTGACCACAAAGAAAAATTGCCTGCTCTGTGGGTATGATTAATGGCATAGCTAAGGAAGATCACTTGCATGTCAGCTGTGCATCCATGAGACAGCTACGAAACATCTCTGAGGCTGTTTCTTGACTTCTACAATAGGGATTCAATAAGGCAAAATGTGCACATTTCTTAGCACAGGGCCCAGCAGGCAGGGAGAATTCTTTTTTGTTGTGATTATTAACTTGTTTTGTTATTATTAATTAATGAATGTTATTGTTATTACCATTGTATCAAGGAGTTACCATTTCATAAGTCAGGTAATGATTTCATTTTTCTTTTTTTTGGGGGGTCCGGTCGTGGGGCCTGAACTCTGGGCCTGGGCCCTGTCCCTCAGCTCTTCAGCTCAAGGCTAGCGCTCTACCACTTGAGCCACAGCGCCACTTCCGGCTTTTTTCTTTTTGCTTATGTGGTGCTGAGGAATCGAACCCAGAGCCTCAGGCATGCAAGGCAAGCGCTCTACCACTGAGCCACCTTCCCAGCCCCTGATTACATTTCTTTATGGACAACGTCACCCCTTCCTTCACTTTCCCCCAGTTTCCCAGGGACGATTCTTAAAGCTGTTACAGTTTGGGAGCTGAAGGAGACTGGATTCCTCTCAGCCAAGCTCTGGTTGTGGCGCAAGTGAGACTTTGAAAAGCAAAGTGAAGTGCTCATCTGACTAGAAGCCTCCTGTCCAGCTTTGCTCACCAGTGCCCTTGCCTCCGCCTCCCCTCCTGCTTCTCCTAGATGCCCCCAGTTCACACAGAGATCTCTTAACACTCACCATCAGGATTGGCTTTGGAAGGCACCAGCCCAGGCTCAGGGAGCAGTGAGCCCCTTCCCAGTTCCCTTTAACTCTCCCTCCAGTTCTGCCTGTGAGCAGGCCACCAGGCCAGCCTTGTCCTGAGAACTCACCCGGGAGAAGCAGCCTATCGTGGGGTGGGGTGGGGAGATAGCTTTATCTGTTCCATGTTTGGATTCCAGTTGCAGCTGGGGTGGGTGGCAACAGCAGGTCAGCTCTTCGCATGGATGGAGAAAGATGCCCCTTCCTCTGGGCCACCGCCCCGTGCCTCCACAGCTACCAAGGCGGATGGTGAGGCGAGGTGGATGGTGAATTGCTTTGTTTAATAGCTGTTGCCCTCTTCTCAGAAGAGGGCCCACTGTTCCCTGGAAACATCCCAAGACAGACTTGAACTCTGAGAAGCTGGAAACCCAGAGGAGTTGTTTCCCAGTTTATGTGAAGAATAAGATGTTAGGGCCGGGCGCCGGTGGCTCACACCTGTAATCCTAGCTACTCAGGAGGCTGAGATCTGAAGATCACAGTTCAAAGCCAGCCCTATCTCCAATAAACCACCAGAAAACCGGAAGTGGCGCTGTAGCTCAAGTGATAGAGCGCTCGCCTTGAGCTGAAGAGCTGAGGGACAGCGCCCAGGCCCAGAGTTCAAGCCCCACGACCGACCAAAAAACCAAAAAAAAAAAAATAATAAGATGTTAGGGAGAGCTCTAGGACCAGGAGGGAAAACGCGTTTTAGACTTACTTCTCCAGACCATGCCAGCTTCTGTGTGTGTGTGTGTGTGTGTGTGTGTAAAATAAAGGTGTAGAAGAGAGGCTTTGTAGCTATATTTAAATGAATTGTTGAGCAGGGTGCTGGTGGCTCAGTCCTATAATCTAGCTATTCAGGAGGCTAATGACCTAGAATATCAAGGTTCAAAGCTAGCCTGAGCAGAAAAGTCCACTAGACTCCATCTCTAATTCATCAGCAAAATGCCAGACTGGAAGTGTGGTACAGTATAGTGTACCAGTGGTGAACAAGTAAGCCGAACAAGAGCAAGAAGCTCTGAGTTCAAGCCTTAGTATCGGCACAGGGGGAAAAAAAATCCATTGTGGGCAGTGTGTGTGTGTGTGTGTGTGCGTGTGCTGGTACTGAAGCTTCCTGGCCTGCCCAACCATTGCAAGCACAAACTGAAAAATGCCAAAGCCCAGGAAGTGAAGTCTGTTGGCTGAGTGGAAGCCATTGGTACACATGAGCTTAGGCATCTGGAACCAACCTGTGCTCCTAGGGCAAATATGACAGGAATAGGATACCTCACTCCTACCCTGCTACATTTGAGAACTGGAGAGATGATGGCCAGAAGAGGGCAGAAGTAGAACTGAGTTGTGATCACTGTGAGACATTGGACATCTCATGGCTGAGAAATAGAAGATGGTGAAAACAATGGCCATCGTCAGGCAAGAAAACAGGGTGAGTTCACAGACGCTAGAATGCCAGATCAAAGGAGATCTGGCTCCTAATTTCATAGTAATCAGCTCCATCCCATTCCACACTGGTGCTGTATTGGATGCTAAACCACAAAGGACTCAGCGGCTGATTCTCTATTTCAAAGCCTATCCTTTAAAATCCATAGCATCAATTCTCTAATCCTTACTACTCTTAGCTAGATCTAATTCTCAGTAAAGAACTCTACTTGGGAGCCAAACATAGATCTACATACCTCTAATTCCAGCACTCAAGAGGCAGAGATTGGAGGACCTTGAGTTTAAGGCCAGCCTAGCCTACAAAGTGAGCTTTAGGTTAGTCTGGGCTATGTAGTAGGACCAGGTCTCAAAAAACCATTGCTGTAGAACTACAGCAATGAGTGCTTGCCTAGCATGTGCAAGACCTGGGTTCATACATAGCACAAAAGAGGAGAGGAAGGCAGAAAAGAAAAAGAGGAAGGGAGGGAGGAAGGGAGAAAGAAAGGGAGAGAGAGTGAGGAAACTATGCTACTTTGGGGCAAAGAAATGAGTCTGATTATTGTCTGACTACAGTCATATATTCCTTTAATGATGGAGATATGTCCTGACAAATGTATTGTTAGGCAATTTCATAGTTGTGAGATCTTCAAAGTACACTTATAGCTGGGCACCGGCAGCATATGCCTATAATCCCAGTTAGGCAGTAGGCTGAGATCTGAGGATCAAGATTGGAAGCTAGCCCAGGGAGAAAAATTCAAGAGATTCCCACCTCCAATTAACTAGCAAAAAGCCAGAAGCTCTTCTCAAGGAGAAGAGCACCAACCTTGATCAAGAAAAGCTAAGCAAGAGCACAAGGCTCTGAGGTTAAGCCCTAATACCAGCACAAAAAGAAAAAAAATCATGTGCTTACATGCATAGCCAACTAACATGGCTATGATGTCACTGTCATGGTATAACTATACAGGAATACCATCAAACGATCAGTGACCAAAATGCCATTATGTGGCACATGATTGCATTATTAGGTTGAACTGTGTAAAAACGGTTATTATATGACTGATTTGGCTCACAGAAAGAATTGTTTTGGATCAATTTAGTATTATTATGATATAAAACCATCACAATATGTCTACTGTTTATTGATCTGCTAGATGCCAGACACTTTATGCACGCCATGCTGTATATTCATCCCATAACACACTGAGGTGGATGTTATCCTCATTTTTCAGATGAAGGAGCGAAGATAGGAAAAGAATGGATAACTGGCAAAGGATCTCACCACTATTGCAAGTAGCCGAGCCTTGGTTCACTGCCAAGGCTTCATTTGTGTATCCTGTTGAGTGGGAGCTAAAAATAGACTCTGGACTCTGATAAGCAAAGGTTGGACTCCTCTATCCACAGATCACTATTGGAATGAGGCTATTCTAATGATTGGTTTTATCATTGTAAACTCAGATTGAAAGGACTAGAAGATAAGTCATAGCTTTAAGGTTACGGACTAAACACCTGCAAAACACTGTTATTACCTGGAACATGGTTAAATGATTAATGGTAACTGTTGCCCTAATTCCTTTCTGTGAACAGATAAAGAAAAGCCCTGGGTCAATGGCTCTTGTCTGTAATCCAAGCTACTGATGAACCTGAGTAGCCAAGGCAGAAAAGTCTGTAAGACTCTCATTTCCAATTTACCAGCAAAAAGGCTGGGGTCATGGTGCTGTGATTCAAATGGTGCCAGCATTGAGCAAAAAAAAAAAAAAACAACTAAGTAAGCCAGGTGCTGGTGGTTCATGCCTGTAATCCTAGCTATTCAGGAGCTAAGATCCGAGGATCACAGTTCAAAAGCAGCCTGGTCAGGAAGTGAGACTCATTATCTCCACCGGCAAACCAGAAGTGGAGTTGTGGCTCAAAGTGGACAGCATTAGTCGAGCAGAAAAGCTCAGGGATGGCCCCCAGAAGCTGAGTTCAAGCCTCAGAGTGACAATAAAATAAAATAATTTTTTTTTAAATCTAAGCAAGAGCATGAGACCCTAAAAGCCTCCTTGCCCCTGCTCATCTTTTCCTTGTCTTTCTGAAGTGACCCTTTTCTCTGTTTCTTTCCCCACTATCGCCTCTCTTCTGGGTTTGTTTGAATGCAACTTGAAGAGTGGGAAATGGAGAGTGGAGTCAATGGGAAGCCAGTCTCAGGGCCTGGATCCTGGGGACGGAGAAGGGCGCTGGGCAGTGGTCTCATGTCTCCATAGTGACAGGTGTGAGCTCAGAAGCCGAAGTTCTACTCAGGAACCGCAGTCCTGATGAGTGGGGTGCGCCTTCACCATGGTAGGGTCCCTTCTTCGCTGGTGGCACATCCAGGGGTGCCCACTCCACTCAACTCTGTTGTCCTCCCCTAACATGGCTGTTGGCAAATTCTTTCTTGAGTTGAACACACACACACACACACACACACACACTTGCATCTCTCACCCACTGTGCCTTCCACCACCGTTGGCCTCCTCTCATCCCGCACAACTCTAGTCCTTCCCTTACTACCACCTCTTTGGGGTCCCCTACCCAAAACCCTCCTGCCCCATCCGCAGGAGAGCGCCTGCTCCAAGCCGGATGACGACATTCTAGACATCCCCCTGGACGACCCCGGTGCCAACGCGGCTGCAGCCAAAATCCAGGCGAGTTTCCGGGGCCACATGGCACGGAAGAAGATAAAGAGCGGAGAGTGTGGCCGGAAGGGACCAGGCCCGGGGGGCCCAGGCGGAGCTGGGGGCGCCCGGGGAGGCACGGGCGGCGGCCCCAGCGGAGACTAGGCCAGGTAAGGCGGGTGCGGGGTCCAGAGGAAGCCTGGGCTTGGGCCGGGAGGGAGGGAGGGAGGGAGCGAGCGAGCTCCGGGCAGGGCGGTGGGGGGGCGGCGCCCTCGGAGAGCTCACCTGTTTCTCCACCTCCCTCTGCGCCGCCACGTCGGACCGAAGAACTGAACATTTCCCAAGGTAACTAATACACTGGGCGGCGCGGGGGTGGGGGGGTTGCTAATGAGTGAGGACTGGGTGGGAGAAGAGGCGGGATCCCCTCGCCCCCCCCCGCCCCTGCGCGTTCCCCGCCCCGTCCACACCGGGACCGACCCCGACGCGCGCTCACCCAGGCCCGGCTGCGCCCCGCTCACGCCGCGGTGACTCACCAACTGGCCGCGGGGCTCATTTCAGCTCAGTGACTTGGGATCGGGGCGGGGGGGGAGCGGGTTTCTGGGTGACCAGCCCCCCCACACCTTCCCCGTGACACCCCCTCCCCGTGACTCCCTGGCCGGGGAAAAGAAGCGAGGTTGGGGAGGTGACGTTCTCAGACCTTCTCTCTCCGTAGTTCCCCAGGAGAGATGGATGCCGCGACCCCTTCGCAGTGACGAGACTTTCCTACCGTGTTTGTGATCCCCCTCCCACCCCTCCCCACCCACCTGCCAGCTTCAGGAGCCCCCCTCACCCCCCTCCCCAACTCTGCGCCCCGAGACTCCCCTCCCCAGGCAGGCTTCGTCATGGAGTCGCTACGTCTGTGCCCTTTGAGTTCGATCTCCAGTCTCGCGTTGGTCCTCATTCGCCCTCCCTCCCCGCCCACCCCCAGCCCTTAAACCCCACGCTCCCCCCCCCACTGTCCTCTTTGGCTTCTCGCCCACCTCTTCCCCCCCCCCCTTCCCGCCACTCGCCGCAGCCAGCATGCAGCTCAGCCTCCGCAGCCCCGGTGCGCTTCCCCGCGCGCCCTGCGGAGGGCGCCCTTCGCGCCACCCAAGTACACTCACTTTGAAAACCGACCGGTCCTTTCCTTCTGTGCGCAGCCCTAGGGGGCGCCCCCTCCTAGGCTAGATCTGGGGCTAGGAAAGAGGGAAGCTAGGGGTGTGTCGTGGGATCAGATGCCCCCGTCCTGGTCCTGACCGGAAAGGACAGCCCCGTCACACACCTTTGCCTGTCATCCCCCCCCCGCCCTTCTTTCTCACCGGAGCACCCCGAGAGCAGCCTGTCCAACTCTCCTGTTTATGCAAACGCCGAGCGCGCCCGGAGGCTCGGTAGGAGGGATCTTCCGCGGCCCCGCCCCTGTCCCTGCCGGCCCCGCCTCCCCGCCGGGCTCCCGGGGCTGTGGCCGGAAGGTTTTTAATCTCCGCGTGTGCATGTGACCGTGCTGGGATGGAATGTGAACAATAAAGAGGAATGTCCAAGTGTTCCGAGGGTGCTGGAGCGGGGAGGGGCGGGGTGCACAAGGCCACCACTTGGGGCTAGAGCAAATCTGACCAAAATGTGGCGGGTGGAGGGGTGGGAACAGGGGAAAGGGACTTAGGTTGAGCCCCTTACCCTTTTGATCCAATCAGACTTCCTGCTTACAGCATCGTCTTGGGGAACTGTAAGCCTGTTCCTTATTGGTAATGCTCTTTGGACAGCCTAGAGGACCTGGCTATACCGGCAGTAAGGAGGCGATATGGTACCCAAAGGCTTTCATTATTGAGATTCCCTCCCTTATTTTAAGCCCTCAGCGATCACGAGGAGGGGTCATACAACCATAGAGAGCTTGGACTTGGTGGTTGTCGCCGTGCTAGCAGATGGGGACCTCTCCAGGAGGCCTTTGCTAGAATCCGCCTTCACAGAAGCTTGCTCAGACATCCCAGGAGCCACAGCATCTTCTCTGAAGGAAACAAGCATGTTCTTAGGCTAGACGCACCCTTCAGAGGGCAGTCTAGCCCAGTGACTTGAATTTTATTGCCATAAGAATCATCTGTAGAACTTTGAAGAAGATTCCAGACTCTATCTGCCCCCAACACACACACACAAACACACACACAATTTTGCTCCAGAAGAAATAGAAAGCAGCCAGAATCGCAATGTTTTGCAAATTCTTGGTGACTTACATCTTGTAAGTCACACGAAAATGTTGCTCTGGTCCCTATTCTTGGACTGTACAACTTGCAACTTAAGCAGATGACAGAGGTGGCTTTGGCCTCCTTTCCTGATTGCCCCACACAGAAAACCTAAGCTTAAATGATCAGGACAAATCCAATTCTGGGTATTCACCTCCCACAACTACTTCCAAGTGGCATGTATGTATGTGAGCATGGGAAAACAAAATGTTTTTTAAGCATGAGGAAAGTCAAGGAGATCCAGCAAACTCAGCCATATGCACCTCAGCTGTGAGATCACTCTTCCATCCATGAAATTAAAAAGGTTATATTGCCATTGCTGCTGCCACCAAATGCCAGTGCTGGGCACCACTCCCTGCTCCTAAATACCTTTAACCATGTCAGGTTTTGAGGGCAGGAGGAGCCTATGTTCAGTAGAAGCCTTTTCATCCCTCTCTCCGTCACCCCTAACCCTACTCACCTCAGGTCACTACCCCCATATGTCTCCTTGGCCTTGGTCTTCCTCTCTTTCTGGATCCTGATCAGGCAGAATGCAGCAACTGATAGCAGAAGCACACCCAGGAGCACCCCAATCAGAGTCCCAGCCACTCGGCCTTCGGAGGAGCCTAAGGAGACATAGGAACCCCTCAGAGCTGCAGAACTCTGTTGGCTCATCCTGAGCATTTTGAAAAGCCTCCCCAAGCCAAGCCTTTGCCCAGCATTCTTTACCAGTCACAGAGAGGGTCAGCTCACAGGATGCACTGCCCATCTGGTTCGTAGCCACACAGCGGTAGATGCCAGAGGAAGTCAGTGAGAGATTGGTGAGGATGAGCTGACCAGATACCTCATCTGCAAGATGGAGAGAAGGGGTGTGGTGCATTCATGCATGCAACTCACAGTGAACACTTACTGTGGTGATGGCACACTCCATTTTATCCTTACACCAATTCCGCCAGAGAGGGACTAACCCCATTAACTGATGGAGAAGCTGACTCAAAAAGTAAGTCATTTGTGGGAGATGAGCTGGAGTGGGATTCCAAAGCTATGGCCATTTCTATGCTCTTTCTACCCCACGTTGCTGCCTTGTCAAGGGAGAGGGAAGCGCACACATGTGAAAGTGATGGAGGAGGATGCTTTCTGGCGGAGGGCAGGTTTCTGGTTAGGGGATAAAAGATCAGAATGCGACATTCTTCTCTGAAAAGCCAAGCACTGATGATGGCTCACGCCCCTGATCCTCACTACTTAGGAGGCAGAGATCTGAGGCCTGCAGATCCAAACCAACCAGGCAGAAAAGTCAGTAAGACCCTTATTTTCAGTTAATCAGCAAAAATCTGGAAGTAGAAGTGTGGTTCAAGTGATAGAGCTCCAACCTTGGGTGAGAAAGCCAAACAAGAACATGAGGCTTGGAGTCAAATCCGCATGCACGCGTCCTCCCCCTGCCCCCACCACACATACCTATCTGAGCCTCTATAAATTCTTTGTTTTGCTTTAGAAGGCAAAACACTCAGCAAGAAATAACCTGGGAGGAGGGGCCTGGACTGATAGGTTTTTTTTGTATTCAAGTTGGTCCCAGGAAACTCTGCCTCAGTTTCCTCTCTAGGCAGTTTGGAAGTGATTCATTTAAGAAATCTCTAGACACATAAGACTATTTCCTACCAGAAAACCAAGAGGATATTTAGCTTGAGTAATTCTCCTAAGAACCCAGCCACAGGAAGACAGACAGGAAGGGAACAATACAAGGAAGAGGCCAGGGAAGGGTATGGTAGTTGGTCTCCCATCCCTAGCCATGAGAATGTGAGTGTATGGTGTTCAGAGAACAGATCTGCTCAGGTCTCCAGTCTATCCTCTTCCTGATGCCTTGGCCCCTTACCTTGAACCATACTGCCAGGAGAAGGGGTAGGAGAAGATCCTAGACGCACCCAGTTGTACACTGGCCTGGGAGCTCCTTCAGAAGAACTACATCGCAGAGCGGCAGAGCCTCCCACTGAAGTTGTTCCACTCTGACTACATAAGGGGCGATTGGGAGGTACTGCAAAAGAAAAAAAATTATAGTGAAGTGCTCTGTTTCCTGCTTCATTAAGCCTGCCAAATAGTGGTCCTCTTCTCTTCACTCACAACTGCATTGCCAGGAAGTGATTTCCACCATTGGAAATTCTGATGGTTAGAAAAAAAAAATCTTCCTCATGCTGAGCCAAAATCTGTGATAATATAATATCCACCCATTGGTTCCATCCTCTGAGCCCACAAAGAGAAATGAACTTTCTCTTCCACATGACTGCCCTTCAGATATTTGAACATAGCAGACATCCCATCCTAGGTCTTTCTCGTTTCCGAAATCACATTCCTTGTTGCTTTAATAGTTTCTTCCAGCTGCTTACTCCTGAGTAGGCTCTGGTGTAAGGTGAGATGGAAGCTCTGGACACTAAACGGTCCTGTGAAAAAGCTAGGTATCTATGGCTTGCGCCTGTAATCCTAGCAACCCAGGAGGCTGAGATCTGAGGATCGAACTTTGAAGTCCAGTCCAGGCAAGAATCACCAAAAAGACAGAAGTGGAGCTGTGGCTTGAGGATAGAGAACTATATTAGAGTGAAAAAACTAAGGGACAGCACCCTGAGTTCAAGCTCTAGTACTGACACACATACACAGAAACTTTTGTTCCTTTTATGACTTCCTTTCTCTGCCAACTTACATTGTGAGGGCTGGAATCCAAATCCAAGATACCAACAGGAGGCTCTGTACTGGTGGGGCTATGACTCAGATCCCCATATATGAGAAGAGCTTTCTCTCTTCTCTCAGATCTTTTGCTATTAGGTCCTAAGGGAGCAGACAGTGCGAAGAATGGAGTCTGACCATCTAAGAATTCTTGGGAAGTAGGTATTATTTTTCCCCCTTAAACCACAGTTGTGTGCTTGGGCTGTAAATCCAAATACAAGGAGACTTTTCTGGGGCTGGTGCACATTTTCAGGGTACATAAGTGGTGGTGTGGTGGGCAGGGGGAGTCTCCAGTTTGTCTTACCTAACACAGTAAGGTTGATTAACCCCAACCCATTGGTGTAGAAATCTGGGGGGTTGTTAACATGGCAGAGGTAAGTTCCAGTATCAGAGGGATGGACATCAGTCAGTTTCAGGGTGGCCACTCCTCCTGTGGGGGGATTCTGGAGCAAGCTAGCCCTCTTCGCCTTAGAACCAGTGGGATACAGATTGCCATTGGTGAAGTAGAGGATCTGAGAAGGGGAAGAAGACAAACACATGCGTCCCCTTTTCAACCATGGTCCTTCCACACAGAAGTGGGTATAAGGCCCCTTGCTGCCAGTCAGGGAGATGACATTCTGTATCTGTAGCCTAATGGGGACAAGGTAGTACCCAATCAGTATACCACCCCCAGGGGCAGTGAGTTTAGTCACTGCTACAGTGATTGTGTAGACACTAGGGGTTGCTGGATCTGGAAACAATGGGAGAAGAAAGATCCAGGATCCACAAAGATGGTAGCCCTGAGAAGGTCCAGCAAGAGACAACCACACCCCATCCTGGGTGAGTTCCCTGTCCCTACCCCAAGCCCACTGGGCACAGTGGCCCTCAGCTCACGGGTTGAGATGCAGAGACGGGCTTCCCAGGCTGCACAAAGCTCCACTCCAGAGCGAAGTTGTCTCCCACCGACGTGCTATAGCTGCAGCGCAGCTCTGCCGTCTTGCCCACGGGCACACTCAGCTGTTCGGCTGGTACGGTCACCTCCACAGCTAGCCCTCGGGCTGTGGATGCAAAGGGAAGGTGGGACCCCCATCCCACTGATCTTGAGGGTCCAGTCCAAACTGGGATATCCATGCTGGGATATCTACAGAAACTCCCTGGGCTCAGCACAAATCCCTCCCAGCCATCCCTGTCTTCCCGAAACCTGATGTTTCCGGGAGGGAGGGACTTACAGCCCAGTCAGGTTTTTGTGGGTAAAAGGGCTAAGACTGGAGCAGGTATGAGGGTTTGTTGGCAGGACAAGGAAAAACAAAAAAACACACCCTGGTGGGCAGCCTGAGAGTCCAAACTCTTAGCCTGCTCTGGCTTCCCACCTCTGCCCTCCAGGCCTTCAGCCACCCTACCCCCTCCCTCCCTGAGCCTCCTGGACTCCTAGGCAGCCTCAGCCCAACCCACAAGGACTGAGCAGGCCCAGACGAGCCCAGTGCCCCTGTCCCTTGGCTCTGGCCCCGCCCAGCCCCTCCTCACCACTTAGGCACGAGAAGGCCAGCAGGGTCCAGCCAAGGGAAGGCCCCCCAGGGAACCAGGCCATAACTGCCCTTGCTGTGTTGGTCCTGGTGTCTGTCGGGGTGTCTGGTTGTGTGGGTATGGGAAGGGCAGGGGCTGGCAGTGCTGGGTAGGAGAGAAACTGGCTATCTGAGAGCAAACAAGGGGAGAGGCCAGCAACCACAGGCCAGCTCCTCCCTCCGCCAGGCCCCATTCTGGGATCACTCGAACCCTGCTTCCTCCTTCTTCCCTCTTCCCCCCAATTTCTGAAGCAGTCAGGCTGTGGAAAGGGCTCCGGGCATTAAGTGGCACAGTGAAGTGGAGGGCTCAGAACAGCCACTCGCAGGGCAAGGGTCTGCGGAGGAAGAGGAGGCTTCTGATGATTAGACAGTTGCCAAATGACTTCAGCTCTTTGGGAGGCTCAAGACAGCCCCAGTTCTGGTTCCTCCAGAGATTTGTCTTCCTTCCAAGCCCCTCTGATTCACCACTTGGTGAAGGTAAGAGTCTCCATCCATCTCCCTGCTCTCAGAGTCACTCTATTCTATGGCCAGGAAAACTCCACTCTTGGCAGGAAAGGGCCTGAGGGAATTCAGACCTCCTATGCCCAGCTCTCCCTCAGTCAACAAGAGGGTGTGTTTGTTAAGGATATGGTGTTAGACAAAGCCTAAGTGAGGTTCCCCTAGAGAGCAGGAAGCCATGGGGGTACATGACCATCCTAACGCGAAACCTCAAGGCTCCAGCAGCAAGGCTCCAGCTAGTTCATCCATCTTTGCTTCTCAGACTGGATTAAGAACTCATTCATGTCTGGGTCTTGGTGTTTCTCCTTTCACAGGACAGCGGATGACCTTTCTAGGGCTCAGGGCATGACTCAAGTGGTAGAGCAGCTGTCTAGCATGAGACTCTGAGCTCAAATTCCAGTACTTCCCCACCCCCCCAAAAAAAAATAAAGTAAAAAGATGACTAAAAAAAAAGGGCTCTGCTAAGCCAGAAAGGTGGAAGGCTCTGTACAAAGACTCCTGGGTACACAGCCTGGTAGGATCTATTTTCTAAATGCCTGAAGCTCGATTTCTCAGAATTTTCAGTTAGAAAAGGCAAACTTCATACTTATTTTATACAAATGCATTGTATCTTTATTGAAATCTGCAAAACAAAAATCACAATTCAAGTTCGTTTTTACAATGTCTTCCCTAACCTGTGCCCCAACAACACTCAACCAAGCAAGCAGGAGATGTTTATCTCTTTTTTTTCCAATAAAAAAAAAAGATCTTTAAATAGTTGTACAACGAGGTTTCAGTTCAACAGGTCAGTTTAAGAGCTGGAGTGGCAACAAAGGACAGCATTAGGTAAGAACATGGTACAGATGCTGGGGGCCTGTGGACTCACTGACTGGAAATCTCCACAGCCCTTAGAGGGTAGCCAGTCTCCTCAGCATTCAGCTGGCTTCATAGAGACAAACAGAGGGAGGGAGGGAGGGGGGAGGTTCTCCTCTTCCCCAGGTTCTCCTCTTCTTTTCCTTTGACCTCCTGGACATTTGGGCTTACTGAGACCCAGCTGTCTCACAGTCAAGCATGGTGAGGGCAGAGGACTGGAAGCCTGGAATGTGGCTATCCTCCCCAACCCAGGCTTCTGTGCTACAGGATACAAGGAGAGACACCAGATCATTTGCCCAATGATTGCCTGAGTTGTCACACTAGAGACCCAGCCTGATTCTGGGCAGGCACCATCACAGGTACAGCACCCATATGGCTCAGGGAAGAGGAGGAAACTCTCCCAGGGGTCAGGGATACTGGCTGAGGGGGGGCCTCTTTTGTTCTGGGATGTTTTGGTGAGGACAGGGCCTGGCTAGAGAGACTGGGCGTGGGGGTCAATACACTGGGCCTAGGAGGGCCCTGGGGTGGCTGGAAGGCGCGTGCTGAGGTGACAGAGGAAAGAGTTCCATTCTTGGAGAGTGTGTCTGAGCCCTTGGTCCAGGGCAGGGTTCGGGGAGCAGTGGCGTCCTCCCTGGTTATCAAGGAAATAATAAGAGGTCAGAAGCAGAAGGAAGAAGAGGGTTTTCTACATGATCTACGTCTCTCTCTCTCTCTCTCTCTACATATACACACACACAGAATTTCTCTCTTTTAATGGCTCTCTCTCTCTCTCTCTCTCTCCCTCCCCTCTTCCAAGCCCTCTCCCCTTCCTTTATAACTCCCTAGAGAAATGATGTTTTACTAACTACTCACCCTTCCATTAGGTGGGAGCTGAATTCCCAGATTCTGTCAGGAAGTTAGGAGAGATCAGGAACACTTACTTGATATCATTGGCCAGTTCCTCTGGAGCCTTTTCCCGGCGTTGGTACAAGAGGACTAGCCCAACCAGCAGCACCAATCCAACCAGGGTACCCACAACTGCTCCAGCAATTACTGCGGCCCTAGACTCTGGAAATAGCTTCACGTCAGACAGGAATCCCCAGATGGACCCTACCCTTTACAGTTTCAGTACCCCATGACCACATAATAGTCTCTTTTTAACACTGTTAAGAAGGGAGATGGGCCAGACAATGTCTACAATCCTATGTCTCATGTCTATAATCCTAGCTAATCAGAAGGCTGAGATCTGAGGACCATAGTTCAAAGCCAGTCTGGGCAGGAAAGTCCATGAAACTCTTATCTCCAATGAACCACCAGAAAACTGGAAGTGGTGCTATGGCTCAAAGTGGTAGAATGCTAGCCTTGAGCAAAAGAGCTCTGGGACAGTGACCAGGCTCTAAACTCAAGCCCCATGACTGACAAAGAAGAAAGAAAAGAAGAGAGATGGACCAGACACTGATGGTTCATGTCTATAATCCTAGTTACCTTAGGAGGCTGAGATCTGAGGAACATGGTTTGAAGCCAGGAACATCCATGAAACTTTTACCTTCAATTATCCACCAAAAAAAGCCAGAAGTGAAACTGTGGCTCAAGTGGTAGAGTGCTAAGAGACAGCACTCAGGCCCTGAGTTCAAGCCCTAGGACTGGCATAATTTTTTTTAATTTAAAAAAAGAAGGGAGATGGAAGGTGGTCAAGCAGAAAGAGGCCACTGACCAAACGTTATAAACCTTTGACCAAGGCAAGCTCCCTCCCTTGATATAAAGAGAGATGTCAACAGTTAGGCTTCCAACCCTCCATCTGCAAACCACCCTCACCATTGACCACACTTCTCCTTAACCACACTTACCCCTCACTGACCTGTGCTCACTTCCAGAGTTACATTGCACTGGGCACTTCCCACTATATTCTGGACTTTGCAGACATAGACTCCAGACATGGCACTAGAAAGGTTGGTGAGGGTTAAAGACCCACGCACAGGATCTGTGGACACAAATTTAGTTATCACCTCAGAGACCTTCTTCCCCAGGTGAGAAAAACAACCCTGTCCTGACTCTGCAATATCCTCTTTGATCTGGGAGTTGCCAATTAGCTGTCTTCTGATGCAGGGAAAAATGCATTACAGCTAGCGTGCAGGGCTCTGTTCCCAACTGCAACCTGTTAGCCCATTACCTCCATTTCCACTCCTTACTGCTCCCAACTGATACCTTAACATAAACCTGTATACCTGTCCAATCCTTATAAGTAAGGAACCTATATGCACAAAACTGAGCATAATTTTTTCTTCCATCCTTCCTTTCTTTCTTTTTTTGTTGGTCCTGGGGCTTCAACTCAGGGCCTGGGCTCTGTCTTTGAGATTCTCTGTGCTCAAGGGTAGAACTTTACCACTTGAGCCACAGTGTCACTTACAGCTTTTTCTGAGTAGTTTATGGAAGATGAGGGACTCATGGATTTTCCTGCCCAGGCTAGCTTTGAACTGCTATCTTCAGATCTCAGCCTTCTGAGTAGTTAGGATTATAGGTGTGAGCCACCTTTTTTTTCCCATTAAAAAAATTTTTTTTCACCTGGCACTGGTGGCTCACACCTGTAATCCTAACTACTCAGGAGGCTGAGATCTGAATATTATGGTTAGAAAACAGCTCAGATAGGTGTTTGTGAGACTCTAATCTCCAATTAACCACAACAAAACTGGAAGTGGAGCTGTGGCTCAACGTGGTAGAGTGCTAGCTTTGAACAACAACAACAACAAAAAGCTCAGGGACCTAGCCCAGGCCCTGAGTTCAAGCCCCATGACTCCCTTCTCCTCCCCCCTCCCCGCCTCTCCCCAAAATATTTTAAGTAGTTGTATAAAAGAGTTTCAATTAAAGAGATCAGTTTATGAATATAATGCATCTTGATTAAAGCATTCTCCTCCCAGCATTCTCCTCCTCTTCCTCCACCCAACCCTACTCATCCTTCAAGCTACCTGGCTCCATTTTCACTCTGAGTGGTAAGACTGTATTCTCCCATCCTTCCTCTCTCTATTCATCTGCCCCTCCCCCCAATTCACCTCCAGCTTGGAGGAAACATGTTTCAATGTCCTGATAATTCATCTTGTTAAATTGTAAGTTAGCTGTTCAAAGAAGTTATGCCATTGTAATCTACTGGAGCCTAATTTTCACCCTGCTCCCCACATCCTCCTCCTCCTGAGTCTTTCCCATGGATGCCCTCCCTTGTCACCCAGTCCCTCCAGTACCTCTTCCCTTTCCCCTTCCCCACACAGCTACCGGCAGACATTCTCTCACCTAAAACTGGTGGGTAGAAAATCTTGGAGGATGGGGGTAGCCGCTCCCACTGGTATTCTGCTAGAGGTTTACTCCTTGGGGAATGGCAGCTCAGGGTCACATTGGACCCCACCCGGGGTACCCCCAGAAGATGGCAAGATGGAGGAGCTGGAGGAACTAAGAAATGGTTGAGAAGTTAAAACCCACACCCAGTGGGGCCCCGGGTTCTCTCTCCTCCCCTCAGAACCCTTCTGCTGCGCCGTGTCCCACCAGCAAGAATTACACTCAGCTCCCTTGGGAGAGAAGCATGGGGACCTTCTGACCTGCTGTGGTTGTATGGGGAGCGGGGAAGTGGTTGCTTCTCACTCACCCAGCACATTGAGCTCTATGGTTTTGACGCTGTTGCCCCAGTTGGTGCCATGACTGTCTTGTACATTCACAGAACAGCGGTAGGAGCCAGAGTCTTTCTCTTGGAGGGCTTGCAGGAGCAGGGACACATTCCGGGAAGGCATGTTGTAAACCAGAGATGCCCGCCATGTTGTGGTTGACAAAATCCCATTGATATATGACAACAGCTGAGGGGAAGGGTACACACAGGAGGCACACACAGGACACCTCCTGTTATTATTCTGTGATGCCCTGTCCCTGCTGGCTTAGCCAGTTACCTTCCCCCAAACTGGCCTTTACTTGGCTCCTCATCTGCCCCCACCCTTCTGACCTGAACTAGCTCCCGTTCAGCCCCAGCCCCACGCTCATTGTACCAGGTCCTATAGACTGAGCAGCTGTGGTTTCCTCTCAAAAGCTGCACTGTGTGTTTAGGAGGGTGCCATAATAGGAGAAGGGAAGATAATGTAACAGGGAATATATATGAAAGAAATTTAGACTGCAGAGGTGATCCAGGCTCTGTAAACCTGGAAACTTATATAAATGGAAGGTGGGGGGGGGTTATGTTGTACCTTTAAGTTAATGAAGGTAAAATACCTTTAAAAAGCTAACAAATAAACATGAAGTTCAACATCAAATGACTTCCTTGAACTTGTTTTCCAGGACCTTTGGGAGGAATTTCTTCAAGTGATGGCCTCGTGTGTCATGGAAAGGCAGGAGGTTATTGGAGCCTCCCTTTGCCTCTGGGTATAGAGGTGCCTTTAGGAATCGAAGTGGCCTGTACTTGGTACTACCCAAAGCACAGAGAATGGCCAGGTGCTGGTGGTTCATGCTTGTAAATCCTAGCTACTCAGGAGGCTGAGTATCTGAGAATCAATGTTCAAAGTCAGCTGGTGCAGCAAAGTCTGGGAGATTCTCATCTCTAATGAACCAGTAAAAAGCCAGAAGTGGAGGTATGGCTCCCGTTGGGAAAGCTCCAGTGTTGGGTGGGTGGGAGGAGTATGGAGAATGTTAACACAGAAACAGCTCAGCTTTTATTTTCTTTTTTTGCCTTAAGCCTTTCCTTTTTCACCACGGATGGCCCCAGCATCCACTTCCACCATAGCAAGCAAAGGTCTGCTTTTGTGGTGCTTTGATTGTTAGATTTCTAGGGGAAACTAGGGTGGGGAAAGAAATCTCTGGGGAAGTCTGCAAGATAAGAATAAATACACCATGGACACTTGGTGTTCCCTGAAACTCCTTCCCAAATCCCCAGCCCTTGATCACCCCTCCTCCGGTCCACAGCCCTTCCCTCCATCCCCAGCTGAGGACCTCTGCTTGCCACTCACTGGCTGGAAGCTTTCTCCCTCACCTGGTCTGAATTTTTCCCTTTTTGTTCCTGGAACCAGATCACGAAGGGCACCTCCCATGGCTGGATATCAGGCATCTCCCCGGGCATAGTGTACCAGACTGGGAACACCACTTCTGTCCCTTCTACCGCCTGCAACTTGGTGAGGCCGGTGGGCACATGCAGCTCAAACTGGGCCTGAGATGGGGACACTGGAGACAAAGGGAGGAAAGTGAGTACGAAGGACAGAAGGCGGGCTTCCTGTTCAGCTGAGAACCTACCTCATGAGACCCACGAAGGTTCTGCAATGAGAGAGGACAGTAGCCATGGAGACACATTCCTACATGTTTATTCACATCCCACGGCATTGATCCTTTGCACCAAGATTGGGTAGGGAGCAGATTTCCAACGAGGAGAGGAAGATCTTGGGAGCAAGGGCAGATCTATTGTGTGTGTGCATGTGTGCGTGCGCGCATGAGCACACACGCACACACGCATGCCTGTCCTGGGACTTGAACTCAGAGCCTGGCTGCTGTCCCTGAGGCTTTTTTTTTTTTATTTCCTCAAGGCTATCAACTCTACCACTTGAGCCACAACTGCACTTCCAACTTTTTGGTGGTTAATTGGAGACACAGTCTCAATGTCTTTCCTGCCCGGAACTAGCTACAAACAATGCTCTTCAGAGCTCAGCCTTCTTTCTGAGGAGCTGGGATTACCAGCATGAGTCACCTCAAGGTCTACTACTCTTGATCTATGTAGTACACTTGCTCCCCTAATCTTTCTTGGGCTAGAGGCAAGGAAGAGTGGCCAACCTCACCACCAGGACTCCATCTGGTGTTCTCCACCTGACAGAGGCAGCTTATGAAGCAGCCCAGATACCCATTCGGCCCCTTGGCTCCTTCTGAACCACTTGTAGCAGGAGAGATCCTAGCAGCCCAGCTACCCTCTCTCCATCTGTTGACTAAGAAACAGAAAGCTCTAGAGAGCCCTTTTGGGGTCAGGGCGCTTGGGATCTGTTAGGTTGCACAGAATTACAGGCAGCATTGAGAGTCTGACAGGTGCCAGGTTGTTCTAGAGCAGGGGAGGTCTGGGGTGTTAGTTTCAATGAGTTCAATTTGCTGTCTTGTTTATCCTTCGAAGGGGCAAAGGAGCAGTACTAAATCCTTTGGGCTAGTACCTGACCAAGCCTGAGGACCCTGGTGGCCAGGTAACTGCATATTTGAGATGCCACCTCCTGCAGGGGAGAAATGACCCAGACGCGGGGCCGAGGCCACGGAGCCACTCAGCTCTGAGCCCCTGTACAGCCGGGCTGAGATTTATTCTAAGGGTCAGGGATCCAGGATGCACACCACGGCCACTGCTTCAGAAACCCCCCATTCCTATTCCTTATCCTTCCCCAGCAACCCCTCCTTCCCATTTCCTGGCCGGTCCCTGTGGGCAGGGCAGGAAACTTGTGCCCTAAGATAAGAAAGAAGACAATGGGGGCCGCTGGACCGGAGGCTCTATGGCGAAAACAACCCTGGGCCTCAAGGAGCTCAAAGCCCCCTGGAGACCTGGCTCACAAGACGGACGCTGGTCACACCTGGAGCCTTTGGGCAGGCCAGTATCTGTTTCCTCCCGGAAAACTGTCACCAGGGAGGGGTCCGCTTCCATCCTCTCTCCCAGGTCCTGTGTTTATAACTGCATTTCAAATACATACATACTAATGGACACACCAAGTCAGCCTGTTTTACACCCTCAGTAGGAAACCAGAGCAGAAGGGGGGAGGCCTGTAGTCTCTCTCCCCTGTGTTTAAGTGTCTTTCAAACTGGTCTGGGTTCTCCAGGGAGTTGTTGGGTCTGAGGGAAGGACACCCCAGAGCAGCAGAAGCAAGGGACCAGAGTGAGGGAACAGGACAGGGCCAAAGGATAGGGAAATGGGCCCGCTGTGTTCCCCAGGGCTACTATTTTTAGTCCCCCTCTTTCTCTGAGAAACTCCCCCAGCAGGCTTCTCACGCCCTGGGGGCAGCAGTACTGAGCTGTGGAGGAACCCATGGACCAAGAGAGGCAGTTGCAGGGTGCCGGTCACACACCAGCAGACCAGAGCCCATTTTAACCCATGCAAGGCCAGTGGGAGCTGGGCAGCACTCATGGTGCCTGTGGGAACTTGACCTTCAGTGTGCCAAACTGAGGTTCGAAACTGGTTTAGAAAAAGGGTTGCAGTCAACCTGCAGATGATACCGAGGGTGCCCGACAGCAAATGCAGCTTCTCCTCCCTTGTTGGAGACCCCGTATCCCAGCAGGAAGGGGGATTGGAAAGTTAGGGGAAATGTAGGAGGGAAAAAGGCATTGAGGCTTCAGGTGCAAAGGCAGAGCTTGAAGCCAAGGGGTTCTGGATCAGGTCTACAGGGCAGGAAGCTGTATACTTTGGGGAGATTGGGAGATACTCAGAAGACTCCTTTGCCTGGGGACATGAACACTTCATACCCTGAATAGACTGGTACGTAGACCACTCTAGGTAAAGGAGCTAAGAGGTCCCCATCATGGTAGCTGATTTTCACTTTTTTTTGGGGGGGGGGTCCGGTCGTGGGGCCTGAACTCTGGGCTGGGCGCTGTCCCTCAGCTCTTCAGCTCAAGGATAGTCGCTCTACCACTTGAGCCACAGAGCCACTTCCGGCTTTTTTTTTCTGCTGAGGAATCGAACCCAGGGCCTCATGCATGCAAGGCAAGCGCTCTACCACTGAGCCACCTTCCCAGCCCATGACTTTCACTCTTCATCCTTCCAACTCTGCTCTGGCATCCTCCAACTGAGAAATGAGTCAAAGCAGATGCCCCCAAACCCTGATGGAGACCCAAGGAGCAGAAGCAGCAGCAGCAGCAGCAGTCTGGAAGGCAGCAAATGGAATAGCTTGCTCCTACTAGGTCCTTGCTCCCTAAGATATAACATGGGCTCACCCGCAGCTACTCTTGAAGTTAGATGGCCCCAATGCTTCCAGACTGCTTAAGCACTTGCTCTAGGGTTTTCCCTTCCTCCCTCCACTCTTTCCCACTCCTTCCTCTTCCCCTGTTCCGGCTGGGTACAATGAGTCTGGGGGTATGATGTGACCACTCGGCTCCTCTAGGCATCCCAATCCTTCCTCCATTTCCTGTGTCCATGACCTCATGGTCATTCTTTGGGGGCACCTCCCTGGATTTCCAGGGCAGGAAGCAGGAGGGGACAAGCGCAGGAACCGGGCTGGGAAATCGACAGTGAAGTAGGTGGCGTCCATGTCGAGGCTGGGGACCAATGTTTCACATTGGCTTGAGTTGGGGGGAAGGGGAGGTGGAAGAGGGAGGGAGGTCTGGAGGTAAATCCTTAAGCTCTTTAGTCGGTGTCTCAGGGAGACATCAGCTCATCCAGCTCTGCTGAGTGGGGGTTGGAGAGGGAAATGGTTCTGGTACCACATATCCCAAGTATCCCAGTCTGGCCTGGAGATGAAGATGGCCTTATCCCCTCGCACCCCCTACCCCACATCCAAACTACGGGCTGTTGCTGCCGCATCGGCCATCCCCACCAGCCCGCGCTACCCTAGGCTGAGGAACGATGGGGGAGAGCCAGTCTCAAGGGGTAGGCCCACCCACCCAATTAAGTTCCTCATCCATGTGCAAAGTCCTCCTACAGGGTCAGGTTCACCCCCTCCTCCATGCCCAGTCCTTCCTGGCCCCGGGTTTGACTCACCGACAGTACTCAATCCCAGGAACAAAACCCGCCACAAGTTGGTTTTAGGGGGGCCAGACAGAGGAATCATGGTCTTCCTGGCCCCAACCTGGTCAGGGACGACAGTCCTGGAGCACACTGCCCAACAAGGGCCAAGCTGCACGGCCACTGGACCGTGCGCGGGAGCCTGGCCACTGACAAGGGCAGCTCTGGCTCAAGTGTGCTGTGTGCTGGTGGTGGGGTGGTGGCCGCCGGCGACAGGGGCGGGGCATGGGGAGGGTGGAGAGGTCGCCGCCCGGGGGGCGGGGCGGGATGGCAGGACCCGTGGCAGGAGGGGGGGGGAGGAGGGGAGGGCTCCCAGCGCTTGGACCCTGAGATCGGTGGCCTCAGCTGTCAGACCTCGGGCAGGGGTCGGATAAGTCGTGACATCTCACGAACTGACCCAGGGAGCAAGAAGGGACACTCGTGCGTCATACACTGCCCCCGGGAAGGAGGAAGGGGGTGACTGGAGGGAATCTGGAGAGTCTGAAGTCCAGCAGCCGCTCACTCCCCTGACACTGTGAAGAGCAAACCAGCCCGCCCTGGGCTCGGCCCGAATAACCTGCTCCGAGCATGGGGCTCCGACCAGGTCAGCCTTGGGAAGGCCGGGCAGAGCGCTGCGCGGCGGGAAGCGCCTCGGTCTGCAGCTGCCATCCACCACTTCCCTGCGCCGGGAGGGGCGGGTGCGCGGCCGGAAGGGCTCTGGCCGCACCCCACCCCAACTCCCCAGCCACCTGGCGGCCCGAGGGCGCGCGCACCGCCCCTGCGAGCCGGAGAGGGGCTCGGGGCGATTCCCACAGGCCCAGCAAAGATCTGGCCTGAGGACCGCCGGGGCCTTTTGACTCACATCCTGAACTGGGAAGAGTGGCGCAAGGTGGAGCTGAGCTGGAAACCAAGGCACTGCGTTCCTTCCCCAGCTCCTTTCCAGGGGAATGAACAGCCTCCAGGCCTTCTGCCGACCGGAGCCGAGGAGGAGGAGGCTTGCGGGGAGGCGGACAGGACCATTTCCCCATTCTTCTTCATCCCCTGTATCTTCGCTAACTCCCATCACTGCAGCGAACGGCTTAAGCCCGCTCTGATCTTTTAATTCCCAAGACTACATCTTGTTCGCAGTGAATTTAATTGAACCGCCGGGCGCCCCCCCTACCGGCCCTCGCCCGGAGGCCAAGGCGCACGCGCGCCCCCTGCCGGCGGCGCCTCCCTCTCGGAAGTGCGCGCACCTGTTCCTAAGAGAAACAACAAAACTTCCAAGACAGAGGCAAAGATCGCGGGGAGCAGAAGGCATACCACGAATTCCCGGTGCTGCCCACTTCGAAGGAGGCACAAACGTGTAGGAAAAAAAGCAGCCAGGCCTAGCAGATTGTATGTACTCCACACAATTCATCCTTTGAGTATGATCCCTGTGGCCCCATCAGACACAGTGTGGCTGTGTTGTGCACAGTGGAGCAAGTGTGGCATGCCTGGCTCCTCCTCAAATACCTGTCATGCAGTGGCTATGAGAAACACCTATGCAAACACTGGGCTGCTCTTGTCATCTCTGGAATCTGACACTTGGCAGCTCAGTTGACTGCAGGAATAGGTCACATCTGCTGGAATGAGGATGGCCAAAGGTGGGGTGGGAGACTGTTGGTTTCTCCTATTCTACCACCCTCAAAATTTTCTTGACTTTAGTGTACATTGCAAAGCGTCTCCTGTACTTTTGTTCCAGACCAGAGTTGTCACCTCAAATAATTCCATTCTAAAAAGGCAGTAGTCTTAGTAATGATTCATTTAATCATACAAGTGTGCTCAGTCTTACAAAGCTCTGTATAAATTAGAGCCTTAGCTGTCACTTCCTGTAGCTTTTTCCTTCAGAATTCAGATCGCTAATAACTTGACACATGGGAAAGAAAGTTGTTAACATGAGGAGGGGTGAACAAATGTAATCATGCTATTCAGTAGACACTATGTGGAAAATGTAACTTGTGGGCAGGGATGAAAGGGTGACAATAAAAGGGGTGACATTGGGAGGAAAAATGTATTCATTACCAGACTTATGAAGTGGTAGCCTCTCTGTATCTTAACAAAATTATTTTTTTAAGTTGATTATTAACATGACCATGTGTGACTGCTAAGTTCATAGTATGGTAAGACTTCTTCCAATCACGTATCTCAGATCTTCCTAAAAGTTTCCTGAGTTGTATGAATATAGTGTCTGTCCCCCCTGAATCAGAAGTTAATTAATTAAGGCCTCAATAGTCTGTTCCTTGTTTTTAGCAATGCTGTTATTCAGCAACCTCTGTTCTGTCCAGAAACAGGATTTTCTGTATCATTAAGCTACTTTTTTTTGGCATGCCTTTTTCCAATGCTTGGTTTTGTCCTCTTTCCCTAACCCAACCAATTTCAAACCAAATGGTAAAAACACTGCTCTCACACTGTCATCTTCTCCATGCTGACTCGTCAGTTGGCCAGTGATGCTCCATTCTCAGGAACAGTAGGTAGGTGCAGAACATCCTCAGTGTTCCCAAAATGTCCTTCCCTAGCCATAAAACAGCAAATAGGATGGAGGGGGAAAAATGCCTGAAGTACTAATATCAGTTCTGGGATTGGTCAGTGTCAGTTTTGGAAATGCCATGTAATAATCTTGGTAATAATACTCTTTTTTTTACTTAACACTAACTACTATGAGATTATTGCAACAAGAAAATCTACTGCATTAGGACACACAATTTCAAATCCCAAAGAGACTTATAAGTTCCTAAGGCTCTGCCTTACAAGCCACAAATAGGGCATTTATACTCTTCCAGAACTAGCACATATTTTTAGTAACTCACATCAGAAAAAAGCCAGCTCCATAAGCCCAGACTCAACTAAGCATTAAAGAGCTAAAAGGTACCAGAATCTGAAATCACTGATTTGAGATCAGTCAGGTTGTGGGGAAAGAACATTTTTAACAATGTAAACATTATTTTTAATACTATATTGAAACTGGTAGAATTACAGCTTTTACCTGGACTTGGAGTAAATTAAAACAAAGCACCTAAGAGGTGTTGGGAATGCACTAAATTAATTAACCTAAGAAGTTCCTGTCACGAGACCAAAGTGATCTTGCCACTGCTCTAAGCAGTAATAATAGTAAGCTATTCTTAGCCAAGAACACTAACCTCCAAGTAAAGTGGTGGCTAATTCGCTGGAAATTTCTAAAAAAAAAAAAAATTGAACACAAGTTATCTTCCAAATGGAAGTGTGTGTGTGCTTAATGTTTCCACTGGATCCTTATTCCTGTTTTAAACACAGCAAGATGACGTCAAGCTTCTATCTGTACCTGTCATGTGATTTGTCTGAGTACTGAGTATACAAACTAGGGAGAAATGAAAGTCTCTTACAAATTTATGTTCCCAAGATCAGAAGGAATATCCTTTTTCTCAAAAAAAAACGAACACCACCACAAATGAGATATATTCAGAGATCTTTGGCACTCAGACAAGAAACAGCGATCGTGGTCAGTGGGATACAGAGCGAGTGCAGAGTGATCTTGCTTTGTTCATTCATAGCAACAGAGGCAGAGCACTGCCCTTCACCACGGTGGGTGGCCACACTGCTACAGAAAGCTCAACTATGCCAAGAGATCAGGAATTACTTTAATACTTTTAATATATAAAAATTTTAAATGGCAACACAACCATAAAGTTGGTACATCACAGAAACAAAGGTCTTCGCAGGCAACACTGATTGGAAATAGCAAAAACACTTGGTTGGTGAAAAAAATGAAACTAAATTATATACAATTGTAGCTAAAGGTGATACTGAAAAAGTCTTATTTACTGTGACTCAAGTTTTAACTTGCCATTATCTATTGCTTATTTAGTCAGGGTTGTAAATAATACTTATATAGAGACATAGAGATGTGTAAAAATGAAACATTGTGAAAAAAATACAATTTTTCAATTTCATATGAAACTCAAAGTATAAGTTTTGTCCAATATGGAATGTACCTACACTTGTTTATATTAGGGCTCTAAAATCCATTTAAAAATTGTTGATCTTTAAAAAAGAAATGACTGACCCACCATGCAAGTCCACTGGTTATCTTGCTTGCTCAAAATGAGCGTTTTTTAGGTGAGGTCTGTTTTTTTGCCCAAGTCTACTATGATTCCTTAAGAGGCTGTACTGGCCCAGTCGTGGAGAAAGTGTCCATGAAGAGTCTGATGGCAGCATCTGGATGAGGGTGGGCAGGATACCGGGAAATAAGTAGAAGAGGGAAGGATGAGCCCACATCCTTATGAAGGATGACATTCAATTGTTAAATTTCAAGGGGTATCCAATGGCTTTTTCCAGGCACTCAACTAAAGAGCCAGCGGAAAGAAAATCCCTCTCTACTTCTACAAATTTGATATAGATGGATTTGGGAGAAACTCCAGGATCCACAATACAGTTCTGAGACAAAAACCCATTAATACCAACCCAATCTTTGCTGAAGGTTTTGGTATTTGCTTGGAAATGTAAAAACAAGCATTGCTGAAGAGTCCTGACCTCAGCAATCCCGAGGTAGCAATAGATAATTCGGGTGGGCTCGATTTCCACCTGTAATGAGGCTTGTGCTGAAAGGCTTTCCAGGTCAACCCGGCCTTCTTTTCCTGGGTCTAAAGAGCGTCGCTCCAAGTGAGGTGTGAGTGGCCTTTCAATACATTCTTCATAGCCGATGGCATAAAGGCCTGGGCTTTTTGGAATCCCTCCTGGCAATAAATATTGAACAACATTCCCACCAGTTGGTTTGGAGTGGGCAATGGGTATCCAGTCAATCTCCATGTGCAGCTCCAAGCACCTAGCTTCACTAATAGTGATCTCTAAAAATTTGTAGTAAACGTTTTTCCAATTCATTTTTTGTACTCGAGTCATAATGATCCGTCCCTCAGGCTTCTCGGAGTTGAAGTACTCCCGAAGGCGCTTGCCAAGGGGCACCTGGGAGCTGATCTCAGCATAATGGTACCGGATATCCTCTTTCCAACGGGTATTATAACCAATTCCAAAAATGGCCAGTTTATTAGAAAGATGAAGTCTTGAAAAGTCTGTCCAGCTCTGAAACAGTTCCCATTTCAACTGTACTGATTCCAAAATTTGTACAATATTCTGCATAATGTCTCGCTTCCTAAAAAGAAAAGTAACAGTCAAATTCCTCCGGTGTCTAGAACAGTGCTATCCAACAGAACTTTCTGTGATGATAAAAATGTTTTTCACCTGGCTGTCTGATATAATAGCCATTTTACCCTAAATCCAAGAACACCCCCTACAGAGTTCCTAGGAATTTATTTTTCCATTACTTATATATTTTTCCCCCTAAAACCAAGGGTTCAAGCCCCAGTACTGGCAACACACACACACACACACACACACACACACACACACACACACACACACACACACACACACACACACACACACACACACACACACACACACACACACACACACACACACACGTTCAAGACAATGAATTGATATTATTCTAGAAAACTTTCTGTCAAGACACTATAAAGTTTATTTTGATTTTGATAAGATAAAAAATGCATGAGATTCTCGTTGCACAGGTCACTCATGATTTGTAAACTGACATTTGTGCAATTTATATAAATATATAAGCATTTATAAGTTTCTCGAGTATGGCAAAATTTTAACACTGTAAGATTGGTTTGCTAGATAAACAAATATAGTCTCTCAATTAGAGGCCTTAGATTCAAAAGCACTCAACAAGTGCACTCACAATCAAACAGGCAAGAAAAATTTGCTAACAGATTCTTTCAAGGAGGTTTCAGACTTTTGTAATAAATTCTTGTAACTTCAGGGAAACAGCTTCGGGAATTTTGGGGGGAAGCTTTACTCTTATAGTCTGTACTATCTAGTCTGCCCTGTTATTCTCCCAGACTTGCTCTGTAAGAAGACAAAGAGCTAACATTTTGTCATCAGCTGCTTCTTGGGGCCTACGCCTGCCCTGGATTTACCCTCTACCTATTAGTTTGTCTTGGAAGCTCCTCAAGTGTCCAAGAGTGGCCATCTAGACGAAATCACTGTGTTCCAAGGGAACTAGTCCTCTCCTCGGGAGCCATGAAAGCACTCAGTCACTTATGCTGGTCAATGCCTTAAAGGAAAACTTTCATAGCCACGTTTCCTTGTCCTGTTCTGAAGTCATAGCCCTACAGCAGGAATGCAATAATCAGATACCAATAGTGACAGTTCTGAAGAAACTACTGCACTGGGGAATAAATGACCTCTCAGGAAGCTATTTAGAAAATCTTCTTCCTGAGATGAAACCTAGAAAAGGGGCAGCACAAACTAGATAGTTCTCTAGAGCCTGTTTCCTGGCCTGCTAAGCGAGCTGGAAGCCAATCTGAGCTCAAGGGACATATAAGAGTCCCAAAGTAAGGGAGCACCAAGACTGCCTACTATACTTCCTGGTTTCTGCAGCTCCAGCCACCAAAAAAAAAAAAAAAAAAAAAAAAAAAGATGAATAAAAAAAAAAAAAAATAATTAAAAAATATTTTTTAAATTGGGGGAGGGGAGATAGGAAGGGATGGGAAGGGGAAATAAAGGAGGAGGCAACAATGCTTGATAAGAAATGTATTTATTACCTTGCCCATTTAATTGTAATCCCTCTGTATAGTATTTTCACAATAAAAAATTTTTAAAAAATTCAAGTGGTTTGAAACTGTTCACATCAACTCTGTGAAGTTAAAGTTATATCCACTTAGATCAGCGGAGCCCCTCTATAGGTCTCAAGTGATATAAAGGAGAAAGAGAAAGCCAGTAGCTCTTGTGGGGGGGGGGGTGGTTTGAACTCAGGACCTTACACTTGCTACACAGAAGCTCTACCACTTGAGCCATGCCTCTAACCCTTTTTGCTTTAATTTTTAGACAGGTTTAGCTCTTTCCCTGGGCTGGCCTAGACTGATTTTCCTAAATGCTTCCTTTTTATACTTGGGTGACTGGTGTGCACATCATCACACCTAGCTTTTTCTGTTGAAATAGGAGTCTTACAAACTTCTTACCCAGGCTGACCTTGAACTGCAATCCTCCCAAGTCTTTGCTTCCTGAGCAGTTAGATTACAGTGGTGAGACACTGCTCCCAGGTCTAGTAACTCCTTGGTTTTTTTGTTTTGTTTTGTTTTTTTGGTTGGTTGCGGGTCTTGAACTCTGGGGCTTGCTTGGGTGCTGTCCCTAAGTTCTTCAGCTCAAGGCTAGCACTCTACCACTTGAGCCACAGCACCACTTCCAGTTTTCTGGTGGTAAATTGAAGAGTCTCACAGACTTTCCTGCCCAGGCTGGCTTTGAACCACAAAACTCAGATCTCAGCCTCCTAAGTAGCTAGGACAGGTGTGAGCCACCAGCTCCCACCCTAATAATTCCTTTTTAAAAATAGTAATGTTTCTTTTCCTTTGGTATGCTTTGATGTCATAGTCTTAAAGTTAACTAAATTCCACAAGTAATGGCCTGAAACATAACTGATTTTTGTCATAAGCTTTCTTTTTTGAGGGTTGGAGAAATGACTACAATTTTGGGAAATAATTTCTAATCCTTGAATGCTTACGTCTTCTCAAACATGGGATCAAGTAACATAGGGGATTTTTTAATTCCAAAGAGATATTTTGAAAAGGAAAACAGTTGCCGGTAAAAGGGTGATAGTAGTAGTAGTGATTTGCAGAATTAAAACTTCTGGAGCTGGGAATGTGGCTTAGTGGTAGAGTGCTTACTTAGCATGCATGAAGTCCTGGGTTCAATCCTCACTTCCACATAAACAGAAAAGGCTGGGCATGGCGCTGTGGCGCCTTGAGCAAAAAAAGCTCAGGGACAGAGCCCAGGCCCTGAGTTCAAGCCCCAGGACTGGCAAAAAAAAAAAGAAAAAACAAAACCCTACTTCTGTGCCCCTGAGGTACTGCTTGTTATCTAGCACAGTCTTTTTCAACTTGCCTCCTTTTTTTTTTTCTCCTCTCTCTCAGATATCAAGATCACATGCATGGAATGAAACATACAAGAACAAGTGGGTGCTAAGAATGCTGCAAGATTACCAGTTGGAAAATGGAGATCCCCACTTGTGTCTAACTAACGTGTAATATATTCTCATTAATACATTTCAACAGAAACTAACTTGCCTATTGAGAACAACTGTAAGCCTAACCAAAAAATGTTTAAATCTTAGAGGGAACAAAACAATTTTGTCCCATATCTGGACTTTTCACTCCTTCCTCCAGGAGCTACTTTCTTTTCCAAATGAGGAAATAGGTCATCTAAGTTCTTACTTTTTAAAAATATATATATCATTGCAAAGATACTGTACAGAGGGGTTACAGTTACATGAGTAAGGTAATGAGTACATTTCCTATCGAGCATTGTTTTTTGTTTTGTTTTGTTTTCTGTTTTTTTGGGTCCGGTCGTGGGGCCTGAACTCTGGGCCTGGGCGCTGTCCCTCAGCTCTTCAGCTCAAGGCTAGCACTCTACCACTTGAGCCACAGCACCACTTCTGGCTTTTTTCTTTTTCCTTATGTGGTGCTGAGGAATAGAACCCAGGGCCTCAGGCATGCAAGGCAAGCGCTCTACCACTGAGCCACCTTCCCAGCCCTCCTATAGAGCTCTCCTTTGTTTTTCCCTACCATCCCTTCCCTCCCTACCTCCCCAACTCCTCCCTCCTGACCTCCCTCCCCTAGGTTGTAAGTTCATTTTCAACATAGTGTCTTGTACATCTCATTGTTACATAAGTTCTTACTTTTTGATTTCCAAGTTTTAAGACTGTAAGGAATTTATATATTTATGTGGCTTTCTTATCATTTCACCTACTCCCAAATATGCTTAAGTCTCTGTGACTCATCTTTTTATCTTATTTAAAGATCAAATTTAACTACTAAAATATAGGTAAACACCATCTACACTATTTTCATCTATTATTTCTTTTTTTTTTTTGTCTTTTCTTTTTTGGTACTGGGGATCGAACCCAGGACGTTGCACTTGCTAGGCAAGCGCTTTGCCACTGAGCTACATCCCAGCCCCTATTATTTCTTTTTTGCACTTTGTAAAATTCTCACCATTTCAGGTTCCTGCTGGAAATTTTAAACTAATGGAAGGAGGTACAGCTGAACTTTAATGTCTAGCTACCCACCGATTCTCCCAATGCCAATAAACTTAGGCAGACCCACGTCATGCAAAGGTGAAGCATTTACTTACTGTGCTTCTTCAGAAGACTCTTGTTTTATTTTTAGTGTTCTTTTTGTGACAGGTATTTCATCTGAAAAGCAAACAATTGAAACAGATTATATTTTCCTAAGTGATGGCAAACATTTATGTAGATAAGCAGCTATATTTACTGCACATTCCATACTTTGCAATACTAGGCCTGAATTCTGGTGTCCAACATTGTCCAATGCTAGTTTTATAAATATAACTCTTATATAATGAGATGCATACATTTGTATGCAAGATCAGAAACCAGCTCCACAAGTATAAAATTCTTCAAGGTCATCAGGGGATTTCTGGCTGGGAGCTTAAAGCTTAATTTCACTGCAGACATGATTTTAAAGGAACAAAAATGAAATAATTCTGTTCTACTTAGATTTTCTGTGTAGGTTTAACAGAACAATTATACCCCACATATCAGGATCAGCATATTTTGCCTCCCCCTCCATGCTGCCAAAGGTTTGGGTGACTTAACTCTGTAGGGTAAAATCAAGGTTGTAGAATAACAACGTAATGTAGACCTTATTGCTATTGTGAAATTAAAAAGTAGTGATCATTTTGGTAAGTCCTTCATATTTTTCTAATCCTTAACTCTTACAAGTCTTGCAGTTTTATAGCCTCTTTCTTCCAATATTTGAGACTATTTAAAAACCATATTTGTAAGAGACTTATTATCAGTTGATCGTTTATCCTTTTAATTAGCATTTATCTACCATCAGGAAGTCTGTGAAAACAGAGCCTGTAGACTTGCACCTTATGGAAGGGAAACAATTCTATATATGACCAATCTACATATACTTCTTTAGGGGTTGTCTGAGTACCTCACTGAAGAGGAAGAATATTTACTTTAAAGTAAACACTCATTATACACCTGGTTATTTAGTATATAATATTGCAGCAGAAACTGGATCAGTACTTCCAAATGATCAAAATAAGAATTGGAGTACTTAATGCAAAAAGAAACTAGCAAACAAGAACCTTAATCGTGTCACACAAACTGAGACCTGATGACAGGGAATTTCATTTTCCAATTTGAGCATATTCACTGTATATAAATCATCACAGTATTCAGTCATGTGGAAACCCTTAGAAGTATGGTAGAGTGTGATCACTGACACCGACTACCTATCAACTCTTCTCATTATAAACCAAGACTTCATCTCATTTCCTGTTCAGATTAAAGTCTGAGAGGGGCTGTTTTCCAAATCACAGATGGAATGAATGGAAAGATTCACTTATGGTAGTTGGGCCAAGAGTCAATATTACTTTCAGGGTATTTAGAATTGTGTAGGATTCTACCTGTCACTGAACCTTCTTGACTAAGAATTAATTCTTCTGCTTTATCTCCCCCCGCCACCCCCAGTCCTCCTGGGGCTTAAACTCAAGGCTGGGGCGCTGTCCCTGAACCTCTCTGTGCTCAAAGCTAGCATTCTACCACTTGAGCCACGATGCCACTTGCAGCTTTTTCTGAGTAGTTTATTGGAGATAAGAGTCCTACAGGTTTTTCTGCATGGGTGGCTTCGCACTGTGATCCTCAGACCTCAACCTCCTAAGTAGCTAGGATTACAGCTGGGAGCCACTGGCGCCTGGCAATTCTGCTTTTAAGAAGATGGTCTCCAAATCTTCAAGTACTAGCTGGCAGTCTGAGGCTATACCAAAGATACTCATACTGTCCTAAACAGACTGGTGATCCTTGTGTGGACAGGGGAAGGAGTACCAGAAGACATCATCAGATAGAACATGCCAGGACACATACCAAGCAAGCAAACACACACACAATGTCTTATCTACTGATGTTCTTACCCAATTCCTGATCTGTTGGATAGCCATGGAGATCCTGACTGTGGTTTCCCCAGTCCTCCTGTGAATAGTCCTCCATAGTGCTGCCATCTGACTCCAGCTCCTGGTACAAGCCACTACTGTTAATAAGTACAGGCTGGCAGGGCTGAGCATCCCATCCTCCCTGACCAAACACCTGTTCCAACTGTTCAAATGTGTAACTGCTCTTTCTTTTCCCAACACCATGTTCTTTCACCCGACTGTAACACCTGCGAAGGGTCTAAGACACAAAGTCTTTTGTTATTCTTTAAAGCTGTACTTCCTCTTCCAGGTAAGGACCACAGATATTAATTACTATTAGACAGACACAGACAGACAAACATAGACACATTGTTACAAGAATGCTAGATTTCAAATTCATTATTACATTAGAAAAAAAAAACTAATTTAGCATTTACTCAAACATGTTATCAAACAATTACTTTGCAATTTATTATCAATTAAACAACAAGAAACATTACAACATTATTGCATGTACCCATACATATAATTTATACTCCCTCCCCCACTTAAAAAGAATAAAGAGGGGGAAAAAACAAGAAATACCAGCCAGCCAATAGGATGCACACCTGCCACAGAAAAGAGAGAGCTGCTATGTGCCCAGAATTTGGAAAAAGCGAGGCAAGGAGGACAGAAAGAAGAATTTCCCAAAGTAAAGAATACCTTCCATACCCTTGATTCCAAGAAGAAATACAGGGCAAAAACAATTTCCTACATAAATTAGCTAGTAAAACATATTACTTCTATAGTCTGTATTCCTTACTAACTCTACTAAAATTTAAAACTGAAGTCAAAGCCATATTGGTATCCCAGTCTCAGACCCTGTTAAGAAGCAACACACTAATACCTGCAGACAATTCACTAATCTCCCAACTCAAAATGGTAGCTAAAAGCATCAAAGCCAGTAGAACAGTTTCTTTTCCGGGGGGGAGGAGAAGATGGGGAATTATTTGACTTTTTTCTGCCACATAACACACAACAAATAAATGTCATTATATAAGTCTATAGACAAAACCTGGAACACTTCATTATCTTGTCCAACCCTTCCATTTTGTCATTATTTTTAATGGATATTTCTGATGATTAGCTCAGTTTCCTGAGTTTAACAGTACATCTTATGCTACTGTATGTATTTCAAAAAACGAAACAAGAACTTAGCCCCAGCTTCAAAATTAAGCCACATTCAGCCTCGATTCCTTCTCTGACTCTGCCTTTTCTGCTCCTTCTCATCTCTTTGCTGGATTTCACTCTGCTTTTTCACTCTTTTCAAAGACAACAGTCCTTTTCCTTGGTGGGCTCCCAAATACTTTCTAACTCAACAGTACAAAACCAGGTCACCTCTGACTTAATTCATAGGCATTACTAAGACTATAAAATTCTCCTAAAAGTGAGATTACATTCCAAAACCGATATTGTACCTACGCTCACCAAACTAAAATAACTCCTGATAATTTTTATAGAACTTCTGTGCAAATATAGTCTCTTTAAATACAGTGGACAACTGACAAGATACTTTAAAAATATGTTCCTTGAGGCCAGAAATCCAGACAAGCAAAAGGAATAATAAAAGGATAATATACATAAAGAGCATCTTCAGACATAATTAGAGCCGCCCGCCCTTAGCCAGCCAGCCTACCCCTGCATAAGCACCTGTCCCATTTTCCCTTTCTTGACGTCTTTTCTGGTGCCTCAAATGATGTCTTAGAGAACTGAGGTTTCCAAAAATACACTCTCTTTTTCTTAAAAACATTTCTTTCTTTGCATAAAGGACAGTCACAACCATGCAAGACAAAGCTATAGAAAACAAACTAGAAACACGAACTTTGGAAGTATGTGTCATAGCCAAATCTTCAAATGGAAGGAGACAAATAATGCAGCAGATCTGACTTTCTACATATGCCCCTTTCCCAGCACCCTCTGCCCTCCTCAGAGGGATTGGAATTTCAATTGCAAACATCCCCTGCCAATTTATTTTTATCTCATCATGTCTAGTTTTCTGCCTCCAAGAGCACCCCAACCACTCTTTCCAACTCTCCAAGGACCATATATGGAGAGTCCCAACCCTGTCCCTTTCGCCCTTCCAAAGCTATAAATGGAGAAGGAAACCATGCTCTGCTCATTACTTAGTGGCTGCCTGGAGAAAAGCAATCAGTACACAAAAGAACCCATTCAGCTGTCACTGAGGGTTATTTCAGAGGTCAAGGAGTAAACTAATGGTCTTTGGAAGAAAGGTATCACTTTTATTAGCAAGTAACACAGGCACAAGCAAAGCCATCAATTTTTGATAATATATACACTAGGAAACAACAGGAAAGGAAATTCACTCTACTTAATACCACCAAATTGAGCCCAAAATTTCACTTGGCTTATATAATTGACTTAAACAAACTTACTGACTATAAGTCGAACAGAGCATTTATCTATAAATAATACAATTAGCCATATCTAATGATTATAGTTAGGTAAGAATCAGGTGATATATCTTATATTTCACTAGAAATGACTAACAGATCTTGCCACTTCTTACTTATAATGTACTTTTGTAATACACTTTTATAGTGCAATATGCTGATATGTAAAATATCTACCAGATGCCTGAAGGAAAGATGTTTTCAGTAACTTGTAAATTTGAGAGTAATCTGGTCTACTGCTACATTAAAATGATTTCCAAATTGATTTTACTGTCTCAAGATACAAATGAATACATGTAAAAGACTGCAAATCCAATATTTGTATAAAGACTGCAAATGCAAAGAGAAGATGTTTAAATGGAACATATCAACTAAGAGAGAACAAAACAACAACCAAACACCCCTCAAACATTACTTGTCTGCCATCATAAGAAACACTGGGATTCAGTTAAACTTTAGAACTTCAAAATGAATAAACAGGGCATATGGAGACTTTCCAACTCTTACCACCCATGGTAAATCAGAAAAGGTTACACATTCCACATTTTAAATGATTAACCAAAGCATGTAATTTTAAGAGTGGGTGTCTGTGTCAACAGTCATAAATAAACTAACTTAAAACTCCACTCTAAAGCTGAAATTACAATAATGCTCCAGAATCTAGGAAAAACAAGGTCACATCTATTCCAGAGAGCTACCAATTCCAACAAGAGCCTCAAATTAGGTCCTGTTCAACACTGTTCCCTCTCCCTTTACCTTCATTTATCTTGGAAATTATAGGAACTTAAACTCTACTTGTTTTCTCAAAGTTAAGATCTCAAGGGGAAAGAATTTGCTTAAAATTATTAAAGACTATACTTTTGAAATTAAAAGGTATTGGTAGAAATTTCCTCCAATAAACTGATACTGTCTTCTTGTCTCTTCCCTGGAGGAAGAGCTGTAAGAAAATCCATCTTGAATGAAGCCACAGGAAGAGCGACCAGAAGTCAAGAAAATCTCAATAGAAACTCAAGAATAAGTAACAACTACATCAATGGGTCAAACCAGAGAATTTTCTGGGTATTTGAGTTGGAAGAAACACCAGATAAATCCTTACTAAATCCACCCTATCAAGCGTTTAATGACTTCAAAAAGAAAAGAAAGAGATGATGTTCCACTACCAGAATAAGGAGAAAAATAAGATGGCTGACAACCAACAATTTATAAAGCAGTGAAAGTTTGCCAAAGTTTAAGATTAGAGTAAAAGGAAATGAAAGAATAAAAGGATGACATTCATTGTGGATGAATGTATGGGAGGATCTATGGGGGAGGAGGGTAGGTAAACAAAGGCAGGAGTTTTAGATTGGCAGGATTGGGGGTTTAACGGCAGCAATGCAGAGAAAGACCCAGGGTTACAGTACACGTAACATTAAATACAGTGCACAATGCAGCTATCTTGCCAAAGTAAGTAAATCCAGTATTGGGTTGTATAAGCAGAGGAATCACATGTAAGCTATGGAGGTGGCTCTTCCTCTCTATTCAGCACCGGTGAGGCCACAGCTGGAGCACAGCATTCAGTTCTGGGCATCGAACCAGCTACAAGAGAGGGAAATTGCAGAGTTCAGAAAAGGGCAAATAAAATAATGAAAGGTTTGGAAAATAAGGTTGATAAGCAGGGCCAGTGGTTTCATCAAAGCCCTTCCTGACATTACTAAGCTACTTTTGAGGTGAAATCAGGATTACTTTAGCTTCAGTGTCTTCCAGGAAATAGGAAGAATTAAGTTCTTCTCTGTATGGGAATGTAGAAAAGAACTAAACAAATCATTTTTTTTTAAAAAGCATAGGCCAACCAATTATATTACTGGTTCTAAAATTTTCTCTAAATTTTTCCATTTATACAATCATAAAATAACCACATGACAAAACCACCGTTCTAACAGAAATGACTGTCAGTGGGACAGAGCATATAATAAGGAAAAGCTACACAAATGTGCTATTTAGAAAACAGTGCCTTGATCAGTCTGAGATGTCAGATGAAAAAGTGGATTTTCAGGAGGACAGCTTAGTTGTAATAGCAGGAGACAATGTTATAAGAAAAACCAGCAGTGAAACAGATTTAAGTGTAGTTGTCAAATTGGCCATACTAGAAGCAAATTGCATTATTTACCTTAACCCTCTGCCAACTAATCATGTTAAATCTGTAATTCTTTTCACCCTAATCATTAGAGATAACACTTACAAACAAAGCCTTTTTTTAAAAAAAAAATCACATATTATTCTCTACAGAGGGAGATTACACTGGGGATGAATTTCCAGTGGCTAATTTTTTTTTATAAAAATGTTTAAAATAATAGCTCAGAGTAGGCAGATGGGTATTTTGAAGCAACAAACATCTTCATGAATTTTTTTTTCCTTTAAACTAAGGTTACTACCATCGTAGCTACTGCTATTCACTGTTAGTTAATTGAAGCAACAACAATATCGAGTATTTTAGCATCTTTAAGAAAGACAGAGTCTTTGCTTAGCTGTATGTTGGTACAATGAGTAGGAAAAAATAACCTTAAATAGCAGAAATTAATCAATTAACACATTCTATGCACATTAAGAGAGATGTTAAAATAAAAGTATAAATTTCTAGTCGTATCTTTTGATATGGAGTTGTAACTTAAAAAGTCACCTAAAGAAAACCATCTGGGGTTGGCAGAACTCTTATTATCTAGTTGATTAGGTTTTCTTGTACAATGATATTTGAAACAGACTTGCCAATTATCTAAATCCTTTTAAACCAACAAAACCAAAGCTGGGCACCAGTTATTCATGCCTGCAATCC